TTTTGCATAAGAACTTCCCTTGTACAACTTCCATATATAACTCACTTGGCAACCCCCTTTTCTACCCACTGAGGCACCAGTACAAAACATGTTCTTAGCGCTGCTCTGAGCCCTTCTGCCTGGGCTCCCTGAGGCCATGGAAAGGAAATTCCAGGCATTACTTTTTCCTACCCCTTCACGCACATCCCCAGTGTCTCCTAGACGTGTCTCTCATTATTCCCAACTAGGATTCTTCTGCTGGCTCCTTCCCCTTATCCCTTGTTCAGCTCATTTCTCCCCTTGTCCTCCTCCTATGTCATTTTCCACCCCTGTCCCCACAGCAGGTCTCCTTTTGAAAAATAATATATTTTTATTTATTTCAGAGAGGAAGGAAAAGGGAGAAAGAGATAGAAGCATCATGATGAGAGAGAATCATTGATCGGCTACCTCCTGAAAGCCCCCTACTGGGATATAGTCCGCATGTGCCCTGACGGAATCTAACTATGACCTCCTGGTTCATAGGTTGAAGCTCAACCACTGAACTATGCTGGCCAGGCATCCTGTGACTCTAATAAACTATCCTCCCCAAGATACCACCCTGAGAAACTCCTTTCCCCTTTTACCATTTCTCAAGCCTTATCAGCATGCACTTGTACAAATAGTGGTCTCTAATTTCCAGTTTTCAATGGAATCTAACAGTTTTAGAGACAAGCTATTTTAAGGTGACCAGACATCCCGCTTTTGGAGGGACAATCCTGATTTTTAACAATTCATCCCGCGTCCCGCGGCATTTTAAAAAAGTCACTTCATTAAAATGCCGCAGGACGTGGGACGAATTGTTAAAAATTGGGACTGTCCCACCAAAAGCGGGACGTCTCGTCACCTTATACTATTTCTAAGTTGAGACTCCATCATTTACGGGAATGTGATCCTAGGAAAGTCCCTTAACTACTCCAAGTTGTCTTCACTTGTTAAACAGAGGTAGTAAAGTTTACACAACAAGTTTGTGGAGAGAACTATGAGGTAAAATCATGGGAAGTGATTTTTACATCTTCAAGTGTTGTACGAAGGTTAGTATTGTGTTGTTTCTCCCCATGAGCTCTCGGAGGCCACATCTTTTACTTCCTTTCTACTCTCCCCTAGATCGCCTATAGTGCCATAACACTGTAGGCTAATATTAGATGCAGAGTTAATAATGAATAAAAGAAATCCATTTATCCAACAGAATTAAGGCAAAACCATAACTACATTAAATCTGTTTTGGATATTTTTCTACCTAGTGGATCTAGAACCTTCTCCACAAGGAAACATCCTGAAAAGAGATTTTAAAAAATATTTGCAGCCCACTTTTGCAAATCTACATTGAGATGAAGAGGAAAGGCATCGAAACACATCCACTCATGTTCAAACAGGGGACAAATTGGCCTCTGGAACCCTTGTTAGCTTTTCCCCAAAAGGCTGCTGCCTCTAAGTAACAAGCTTTAAAAAAAAAATCCCCCTTAAAGAGACCATTTTTATCTCCATACTATGATCAGTTCCTCTTCAACATCTGATGCAACCCTAGTATTTTCCATTGCTTTCTAGCTGTGTCAGATTTCCCTAGAAGACAGAAATGAAAGTGATGATTAAGAAGATTGCGCTTAAAATTCAAATTTTTGACCGACGTATTGATTCCCCCACCCAACCTTCCCATTCCTATCTCCTTGCCTTCCAAAAGGGGGAATGACCTTTTTTACACAGCCTGCACCATTAGATGTAGAGTTGCAAACTTGAAGCACAAATTGAGTTCATCTAGTTGAAACTATACAAAGCAGAACCTACCCAGAGAACTCAGACTCTTTCTCTATTTTCCTGACAATCTTCTAATGGAACAAAGGATTACCTGCCAGAACTGTACCAGTTATGGTCGCTTTTTCCTCTGTCACTTAGAAACAATTAGGCATTTACTTAGTCCCTCCTCACTGGCTGTATTCCATATCCCAATCTTGCCCCCGTGTCAAATTATTTAAAGCGCCATGTCTAGAATGGAGAAAGACATTAGAAGAAGAAAAAGAATACCATAAAGGTGAAAACATAACAATGATACAGAGCCTTTTTTTAGACTATCTCAACACACTCTCACAGTCCAGTTCCCTCGCAGAAACAGTGAGATTTCTTAATTGGGCTTATTTTCTCTCTGTGACCCAAACTTAGTAATCCAGCCAGTAGTTTGATGAATATCTAAGATAATAAAATGGTTATGGTGACATGTTGATGTGGTCCATTTTCCAGTGCAGTCTGTTCCAGATATACTTACACCTGAAAACAAAATCACTCAGAGTTTAGCAGACATTTTAGCCCCACCCTGAACCAAAAGACAGATTCTCTAGTCTGCTAAGCATGCAAAAAGGTCATTAGATGGCCCAAATTGTCATTGAGGAACCTTTGCAAGGATGAATGGTACCTTTTGTGTAGTTCAAAGGAGGAACTCAACACTTCCTCAATATAATTATTGAAAACCAGGCACCGGAACTACAAAACTGGTCAAAACCACCCCTAGTCTCAGACAGACCCACTGCAGACAATTTTAATACAAGTCAATTAGTGGCGGATACATAGAGCCAGGGCCTGGCAGTAGGGGCAGGATGTAGGATGGAAGTTGCCTGACCGGGTAAGCAGGAACTTGACAGGAAAAAGGAAGAGAAAAGACCAATCTACGCAAGGAGAATTGTATGCTTAAAGAACCAATGAGCAATCCTTTTTATTCCACATGCATCTTTTATGTGCAGCTGCCCTTTTGTTCCTCTCATATTCTGGAGCCCCTAGAGAGGCTGGCCTGTGAAATATACCTCTAGCACCCACTGTGTGGCCACCCCTCAAGGCACTACTGCTCCAGTGACCCCCATCACCATTCAGGGGCGCCGACATTGTCCAATGATCTGGGGTGATCTGAGGAAGAAGGCCCCCCCCTTTATCGGGACCTGCAATGAGGGAGGGGCCCCACGTAGCGCTCCATGCCTTCCGGAATATTCAAAGAAACAGCCCTTGCAGGCGCTTGCTAACCCAGAGTGTTCCCTCCAGAAAAGATCTCAGAAATGACTCCATAGGGTGGGGGTTAGACCGCTAGGGGCCTCTGCTTTGGGAGTCCAGGAAACCACAACTTCTTCCTCAGAATCTCCCTCACCTCCCCCAAACCTAAAAGCTTTAATGAGGGGCCAAGCTTCTCCCGGAGACACACATCTTTCCCAAAGAGCCCCTCTCTCCACCCTCTGACCAGCTGCCCTGCCAGCATGCCAGACAGCCCAGATGTGCTTCGATCCAGACGTAGGACATAGCTAAGGCCAGAGTGGGCCCCCTGCTACATCCTTTCTCTCTAGTCCAAGCACAAACGAGAAAGTAAATTTCCAAAGTATCATTTTCAACAACAGAAACTGCTAACGGCAGATGCTTGCAGAGAGGGGAAGAGCAGCTGGGGGGAGTGGAGGAGGCCAACCTTTTACACACTCTTCAGGGTTGTACGTTGTACTGTGCATAGTGGATTCCTATTCAAGAAGCATATTTTTCTAGAAAATTACTTTAGAAAGAAGAATTATTTGGGGGAAACCCAGAGTTTTCAAGATATTTTCCAGAATGTAATAGTGAAGCTTATATTTTGAATTCAAACGGCATAATAATCTCATAAGTAAAAAGTCAATAGGTTAAAAAAAAAAAAGCACGTGGTGATTAAGAAGACACACCTCAAACACTGACTCTCGGTTTTCACATAGGTGACTGAGGATCACTACACACGTAACTCACAGATGTATTGTGAGTTTAAATGAAGTGATGTACATGTAGCACTTGGCATCGGCTACATGTAAATGCCGTATAACTGATTGCTAACAATCATTACCCTTACAGGTTGCTGCTCACCTCTATCACCTTCTGCTGTGGTGTGTGACAAGAAGAAAAAGCTCCAGGTAAGTAAGGCAGGCCTCTGAGAAGGGGGGCACACAGACTGATATTAAAAATAAAATCTGAGTGCTTTCAAAACTTCTCAACGTGTCTCCAGGCTGCTGGAGAGACACTTCCTCTCCTGTGAGCCACCTGTGGTATACAGTGTAGGACTGAGTCAGGGACCACGGTCAACCATTGTTCTTCCAATAACTTGCCCTGTAAACCACAGCTCTCTAATCTTAATGTCTTCACAGTAATGACGTGGGGCCAACTAAGCTAATGCATGTGAAAGGGCTTTGTGTCCACAAAAACCCTGCAAGTGAGTTGCAGTTATTTCAAAAGCACACATCTTGACAGCCTGTTAAATGGGCCAGCCACGCCAAATGGAATGCGTATCTCGCTGCCATGAGGAACTGTTACTTGTTGGTAAAATTCTGCAATAGATAAATCAACTGCTGAAGGAGTAGCTCACCAAATGCTCTCCTCCTGGGTTCCTGCTACTCCCTCATCTCCCACCACCCATCCCAGCATAGACAAGCCCACACTCTTGAGTCCTTTCACTTACCTGGAAATAAGTTGTCCCCTTCTAATCCAAGGCACCAAAACATACTTCAGGTTCATTCAGTCTATAATTACTTCAAATCAGTTCAAAGAAATCCCAGTGACCCAAGGTTACCAGTTTTCCAACTTCAAAAGTAAACCCATTCATCTCTCTCTAGGTCATAGCTTCCTTACCAGGAAAATTAAACTTCAGGTTCGAGGAGTCACATGAGCTTGGCACAGTGTTAAACTTGTTTTCTATCTCTGTCTGTCCCTTTGGGTTAGTTCTATAACCTTCCACTCCTAGACTCAGACTGAAATCCACCTCACTCAGCTCCCTTGGAGTTTGAAGAAGGTAGGTCCTGACTTGAGCTCTCAAGTCTGAAAGACTGCTTTCCATCCAGAGTGACTCTTACATAGCTTTTGCTTAGTAAATTTTTGCTTAGTAAAGCAACAAAGGGGAAAAGGGCATGGATGAATGGATTAACTTGTTCATTTATTCAATAAATATTTACTGAGTATCTATTATACACCACAGAGAGTAATTCAGAAAGAATCTGGCCCACCTGTTAAGTGGAGGTGGAAGTGAGGAGGATAAGGAGGTGAAGTTTGGCTGGATCTGAAGGAAGAGGAGGCAGTAACTATACCAGGAGTATTCATGAGACCAAGGGCTCTGCAGTGGGGAAGAAGAAAAAAAATTAAAGGATGAATGAGTGAGTGAGTGAATAAATGAATGAAGAAAGGAATAAACTAGCAGACAAATATATGGGCATCCCAGCCTTACCCTTGGTTACTGGCACCCTACCTCTCATTGAGTTTCTTTTTCAATTAGCAGATCCTTATTACCAGATACATGTGGTTACATTTCACAGTTCTATGAATGTGAGTCCTAGATACCTACCACTGTGGTTAGACGAGAATTTTGCAGTATTTATATAAAAATTTCTTTGGTTTCTACTGTTTGAAAAGCAGTCATTCTGCAAATAGAGAGCTGAAAAATTTTCAGGCTTTTACTACTTCAAAGGATTCACTCGTTTTAACACTTTCCTAACTCAACCCCATTTTTTCCTCAATGGATAGCTTCCATGTATACCAGTTCCATTATCAACTTAATTGAAACACTGTCCCAAATTGGTTATGCAATTTAGATTTGTTTTTAGTTTACAATAAAATTCAGTAAATACGTATAGAATTTAACCTGTCTTTCTTTCGTAAGATGAAAATCCTCAAGGGAGATAAGTTTACTAAGTAGAAAGAAGAAAAACTTTTGTCATTCCTGAGAAGGGGGAGGGTAGAAAAAATACCCAGTAAATGTCACTACTGACTAATCCCATCTGTTTTTGCAAGGCCCAGGGGGTTTTAGGGCTTTTCATGCTGGTAAACTAAACAGTAGCATTCCTCTAAAACAGGAATGTGCAGCCTTTGCTCCCCAAAGCCCTCACCTGCACAGTAGCAATTAAGAGCCTGAAAGGTGAATGGGAATTCCAGGCCCAAGTACAGCTTCCAGCTGCACCCCACCTGCTCTCATGTCCCTTATCTGGTACCTTTCCCCAGGCCACAGTGGACACGTGCCTTTTTAGTACGTGACTCTCCTGCTGTATCTCTTACTACTGACTCATCCACACCTGACTGACTACAAGGTAGCTGGTGATGTCAGGTGCCCAGATCCATTCCAAAAGCCTGCCCTGACCTCTATCAAATCAATGTGAGCCCTAAAAAATAGGTCACTGTCAAAATTCAGAAAGTATATTTCTTGTTAAAAAATGGCATTTCTATTATGCTGGCATTTATATATGCTCGTATATTATGTTGGAGAAAGAGTAGACCTGGGAAGCCAAGGAAATATGTCCTTGCCATGGTTTTGAAGATCTACCATGTTTGTAAGGACGTCTTATATTTGCCACTTTGTTTCCCTCCCGCCCTCAGGTTGACAGTAAAATAAAATTTTGCAATGGTGGTTCAATATATGAGTCTACTTTTGTGTAGCCTTGAAATTTTCCATAATAAACAGTAGCAAAAAGATCAAGAAAATACACACAGCACAGTTCCTATTTCACTTTCTCCTCTTCGGCCCCACCTAAGACTCCACAACTAGGGAACCTCTGAAAGATGAGCTCCAGGCTTTCTGAGTTTGCCCTGAATCCAAGCTCATTTTGCTCAGTTCCTTAGAAGTAGAAATCAAATTTTTTTAATCTTATATTGCATCAATACTTTCATAAAGGAACTTTGTCTCACCATGATTAAAATTAAATGTTCATTTTTTCCGAGAAGGAAATTATATATTAACAGGAATTCTGATGTTCTTACTTTTAACTTAAAAAGGCAAAGGTTATAGGGTATGGAGGAGGTAGAAGAGGATAAAGTGAGAGTAAATGGTGATGGAAGAACACTTGGGGTGGTGAACACACAATACAATGTACAGATGATGTATTATAGAATTGTACACCTGAAACCTAGTAATTTTATTAACCAATGTCACCCAATAAATTCAATAAAATTTTTTTAAAAGGGGGAAATTCTAAGGACATTAGTAACTGCAAAACTATTATTATTGAAAATCAATTTTATTCTTATGTCTAAAAATGATGATGTCATAGTAGTTGAGTTTTGCAACACAACAATTAAGGATTTTATAACTATCTTAAGTCTAAAGTATAACATAGATAAGTAAAACACTGAAAATGAATTCTATAAATGTGACTGCCACACACACAAAAAATCCATTGAAAATTTACAAAGTTAATAATAATACATAGCATGCTTGCAGATAACAATGGGGTGAAAGTACACTGGCTTCTTAGGAACTGTTCTAAAAACTCCACGTTCCACCTACACAACTTCAGGGTCATAAGTATTCTACTTCTCACTGTGAACTGTTCTATTAGCAGATGTGTTTTATACACTGAAGGCCAGAACAAGTGGACATTTCATTATTTCCTGCCTTGTAGATGAAGATTGGTGGACACACGAAGGAGATGGGGGCAGAGAGCAGAGGACTCAAAGCCACTCTGACCAGAGTGCTATCATATCCCTACCTCACAATACTTCAGCTCAGCTCTGTTATTAAACCAGCTTCCTGTGTGCTGGATGAGAGTGGGCAATAAATCCATCATGCTCTATTAATGTGTCCACTGTTATCATATATATATAAAAGCCCAGAGATCAAACGGCGGAACAACAAAAGAACAACCATTTGACCAGTCACTATGATGCGCACTGAGCACCAGGGGGAAGACACTCAATGCAGGATATACCCCCTGGTGGTCAGTGTGCTCCCACATTCGGTGCACCACTCGGCTGACTGGGATGAGCAGCTGCAGGAGCAGCCACAGCCAATAGCAAGCCCAGGGTGAGGCTAAGTCTCTGCATCTATCAAATACCTGAGAGGATCCAGATTCTGGCCTAACCCCATCAGCTGATGCAGAGACTTGCCTCTAAGGTGTGTTCTAGAAAGAGCATGGGGAGCTGCATAAGCAGATGGCAAGAGGGGGACATGACTGTGGACCCCCTGGGGAGGCTGTCCTGATGGCTGAGGATCTTGGAGCATGGCTGCCCTGGACATCCCTGATGGTGTCACCAACCTGGCACCATACATTAAGGACATTCACCAAGTGACTTTGGATTGCAAAGCTCTCCAGAACACAGAACATGCCTTTATCCAAGACTTTACCCCAAAATATCAGCTCAGACTAATTTTCTCATTCAGCAACTGCTCAGAGGGCGGGTCTACAACTGTTCAGCTGACAGGGTTGAGGAGCACACCCACAGTGGGCCAATCCCCACAGGCCATGCCCTCAACCAGTGCACAAATCCATGCACCAGGCCTCTAGTTCAATATAAAAGCTTAGAGTCTGTTTGATAATATGGATCCTTGTCTGAATTAGTGAAAACCTCCTGTAGTTCTAACATCATTTATAGGACAGTTTTAAAAGTAGTTGTATTACTTTCAAAAACATACTGTAACTCTAAGGTAGGCTATCTCTTGCTTGTGACTAGGTAAGAAAGACTTTAAATATAGGCATTCATTACATTCTAAAATGTCCAAATAGAGTATAGAAGCCATTTTTCTTCAAAATTTTTGTCAGTTTTTCAGCTTTCTTTTTCATTTTATAAAATTCTCCCTTTCCAACATAAAAGCTATGGCTTCTGCCCAGTTTGAATTGTCATATTTACAATTGGCCACTCAATCTTAATTATGTTATAAACTCTTCTTAGTGCATCAGTTGCATACAAGATTTTAAGAAGGAACCCTGCTCCAGGATGAATGGGCAGTTGGCAATCTGCAAGAGCAAATGAGTGATATATAAAACTTCCCAGAGGTGCACAGATAGTTCCTGGGAAGATAAGCATGTGCTGCATGAGCATGGCACACACATCAGTTTGGGTCCCACCCACATTGGTTGTGGCTGCACACACATAGCATGCGTGCTGTTCCTTCTATCAGTCATCTTTCTCTTCCCCAAAGCTATTCTGCAGAAACTGGCATATTGACCCATAGTCCCTATTCCTGAAGGAGCCTAGTCCAATATTTAAGTACTTTTATTCTTGTATTAAATAGCAGAATCCAAATCCCACAGGCCCTCCTAGATTAAACAAGACTCAGGGAAGTGAGATTCCATGTAAACAATTATACACGTTCAGGGGGAAGACAAGTTTTGGTCAGAGTAGATAACAATAAATATAAAGGCATAACTTCTAGTTTCACTTAAAGAATTTAAGATTTTGTATATTCCCTCTCAAAACCCATTAAAATGGTATTCTAAAAAAAAAAAAAAAAGGAGTTGTTAAATAAAAATACCCTTAGTAGCCAAGGGAATTCAGCCACATGGGACGGCAGAGTGAAATACCAACAGAAAACAGGGAGATTAAGTGAAGGCTCCACTGGATGATCAGACACGCTTGCAGGTACATACATACACAATAACAACTTCGCCCTTTGGACAACCTTTCTCAGGCTCAGCTGGTGCAAGACAGGTTTATGTCCTCCAGGCAAGACATTGAAGAAATCCTCTCTTGGGAAACTAAATACCCTAAGAGAAGCCTGCCCCAACCACCTGCATATACCAACACTTAAAGGTCTTCGAATGGAAAAATCGAGAGGCCTGAAACATCCCTCACCAGAAAAGCCCACCAGCTAATTAGCATCACCTAAACAAAACATCCAATCAGCATTTCAGTTCCTCTCCCTTAAAAATAAGTTACCAAGACATTTGAGAAGAGCTGTACCCTTGAAATAATATTCCAAAACAGATGAACAGAAAGAAGTCAGCTGGCTGGTGTGGGTCAGTTGATTGGGCATCACCCCATGCACCAAAAGGGTTGCTGGTTCAATTTCCATCCAGGTTATGGGCTCAGTCTGCACTAAGGAAGTGCAGGAGGCAACCATTCAATGTTTTATATCATATCAATGTTTCTCTCTCTCTCTCTCCCCCTTCCTATTTATCTAAAAATCAATTTAAAATTTCTTTAGAGAGAGAGAGAGAGAGAGAGAGAGAGAAAGAAGAAGAAGTAGAAGAAGAAGAAGAAGAAGAAGAAGAAGAAGAAGAAGAAGGAGGAGGAGGAGGAGGAGGAGGAGGAGGAGGAGGAGGAGGAGGAGGAGAAGGAGAAGGAGGAGGAGAAGGAGAAGGAGAAGGAGAAGGAGAAGGAGAAGGAGAAGGAGAAGGAGAAGG